GAGAGCTTATAAAAGATAAATAACAATGTTGAGAATTTTCTGGACAAGATTCAAATACAGCAGTGCAATAAATCTATCATAACTGGAGTTTCATAGATCCAACAGAGGTGTGCCAAGAATGGTTAGAAAGCTTAGGAGATCAGCTACAACTTTTATTTAGATCACTTTTACAGATTCTGACATACACATGGTCAAAAACAGAGCTAAACCGAATCTGTTGTGGGTTCCAGTCTGCGCAGAAACATCAACTTGTGACAGCTAGATCTCACAAACCAGAGCAGATATTGACGTGATTCTAGAAACATTTGAAAGATACAGAAGTCTAGATATCTCCAAAAAAATTTCAGAATTTTTGGCAGCCCATATTTTGAGATATAAGATAAAGAACACAGACTGCTCCAGAAAACATTACAGCAGAGATAAGATAAAGCAAACCCATCTGCATTAAGACTTCATCTAAACTTAAGGTTCAAATCTATGGAATTTGTGGATAGGCCCACAAACTTCCAGCAATCAAACAAACTCCAAATCATCCAAGTTCACAATCATAAACATCTAATCACTAAAGTTCACAAGACCAACAAGACTAGACCTGACATAGGAACTAACAACGTAGTAACTTTTAACAAGGAACCTAACACCTATGGGGCGGTGTCAATCATGGTGAACGACCGGCGCTTCTTCTTGTAGATCGATGGCAGCCCAAGTTGAGCATGTAGTTCATCAACTTGCTTCTGGAGGCACCTCTCGGCCCTCTATGATGCACGCAGCTCTCCCTTGACCTCTTCATCTATCCCCTGCATGGCATGGACATGTTGCACAGTTGCCTCCAGAGTTGGATCACTTTCTGGTGGTGCCAGGACCTGCCAATTGCCCTCATGATCATTGCGAGGAAGGAACCTAAAACGATCCTCCTTCATGGCCTCAAAACGACAACCATGGTAGTAGATGTAAGCGTCCTGTGCTGCATCTTCCATGCCATCCAATGCATGGGCCCGTCTGGCAGGGGCACGATGGACAGTCTCCACCTCATGTCCATTCTTTATGTCATTCCAGGTGGTGACAACCAGCTCTACCTTCCAAAAGGTTGCCTCCAAAGGATGCTGGTACTCTGCACAGTGATAGTTGATGGAGGCGTGCAGGTCAGGGTAGTAGTCATCCAACACATGAGTAAGGAGGGTGTGGTAGTAGGCCGTCTCCGAGGCTGGCTAGAAGTAGTATTTGCACTTCCAGCCTATCTCCTCATCCACCACAGGGACAGCTAGGGATGGCACAGACGTAGGTGAAGTAGCTGATGACTCCTCTAGGGTAGCTACAGCAGGATAGACAGGTGCAATAGCTGGAGTAGGAGCAGGTGCAGGTGTCGGGGTAGTCATCCACTCATCATCATCCTCGATCAAGGGTTCCACCTCATCATCGAAGATGATCACAATCTCCTTCTCCGTCTGTGGAGCACGGGGGGTGAACATGGCGCGGTAGCCTGCAGTGTTGAGGCGGGCGGTCTTCGGGTTACGAGACATCTATAGATTTAGAGTAAGATAGAATTAGAATAAAAAATTTTATATAATAGATTAAGGTATGAATAGCATAAATACTTTAATAAAATAACAAGAATGAGACAGTAAGTAGGAAACCAGTGGAGCAAAGATGCTAAAATGACCATTTCTAACTAGGCTTGCGTCCTACAGTCAACACGGCTCTGATACCAATTTGTCGCACCCAATTTTAAGGATAAAATTAAATGCACTAAACTCATGTGTGCCCAGGGATCAGTCACACACACAAGCTGACAAATTATATAAAGTATCATCACAGTGCATCTTACATCACGATTAATAACATAACTTAGTCTTACACAACACAGCGGAAAATAAAAGACAGCTCTCTCGTGGAAGCTCCAACATAGGGATGGTCAACTGGTTGACCACAAGCCTAATAGTCCTCAGAAAACTCCTCATACACGTTGCCATCTGTTACCCATCCGGGATTTTTATCCAAATATAGAAAGTAAACAAGCGTAAGTACATCCCGTACTCAACAAGTTAACATGGGGATATGAAGCTCAAAATGGTTGACACTGGTTTACTGCAGTTAGCACTTTTAGTAAGTCAAGATTTTATTATCAAGTTATACTTAAGCTCCTATTTAAACCCACATAATCAGATATCAGAATCATTTGCATCATATTATCATCGTATACCATCGTAAATGAACAACAATGAGCAACCAATTATTCTGTGAGTTTTCCGGACCGCTCGTGACTGTGAACATGCCTGTTATAACAGTTTATAACCCTCTGCAGAGGTGGTGCACATTCACCGCGAGTCGTGATTTCCATATGCCCGGGTTAATTACTCCCATATCACTGCCAAGGTGAGCGGACAGGGTACACTATGAAGCCATTTCATAGGTTTCTCTAACAAGTTAGGGCCGCTAGGTTTCCTCGACAGGCACATGTAGGAACCCCCTTTCCTATGACACATATCCATCGTGGCTATACACATAGGAACAGAGGCAGTCCTATACCCAACGTGGCAAGCCCCTTTTGCGCCATAAAGGTAACCTCTAACAAGCTAGAAAAGGTCCGATTACTGAGCTAAAGTCAGAGCCATATGACCCTCACGGTTGCACTGTTAGTCTCAGCTTTTGCCGACAGATAAGTCCTCATGGAGGGCCGAGAGCATCATGATCGAAAGTCATTTGCTCCTTCGCCCTATATTTCAGTTCTTTAAAAGTCAATTTTACCTTTTCGTTCCATAGAACCATTGTTCATTATGTAGATCAGGTATAGTTACATTGAGTGCTAGCAAACTACCCATATGCATATAACCCATAGGAGATCAAGGAACAGGATAATCAACACTAGGATGTCCTTACGGGTATCAAAATTAGACACATGCAAATGAGTAATTATTAAAGGTGAATAGGCATCAAGGTAGATCCCATGCTATACTTGCCTTGGTTAGCAAACTCCTGCTGGTCCTGCTGGTTGTCGAAGAACTCTTGGTCTCCAACGTTCTCCTCACCGTCTGAACACGACCAACACAGCAACATACAACATTCCAAAGGCATTAATGCAAAGCAAACAATCCTATAATTAGAACAGTACACCAACAGTATAGAAAACAAGATAAAATATTTATGAAAAGAATCTACGTCTTGCTACGATCACGTCAACGCGAAGTTCACGAAAAACGGAGCTAAAACGCGAAAGTTATGAATTAAACGGGGTTTCCTATAGCAATTTATTTAATTAAACCTAACCATGAAATTTAAAAGTTGCAAACATGATTAACAGTGGTACTAACATGTAGAGAACTTTATTACGAATCTAACGTGATTTGAACAGGTCAATTTGGAGCTAAAACGACGTTTTTATGAGCAAAACAAATCCAGTGGCATTTCTATAAATAGTTAGAACTCATTTTCGATTTAAATAAATTTAAAAAGAAATTTAGATTTGAATCTGATGGAGGACGGCGGGCGCAAATTGTTGAGAGCCGAGGGTCTCTTTAGAAATTTGACCCGCGAAGGGGTATCGGCCTCTCAGAGCCGTTGGATCACAGATGGGTGGCTCGGATTAGATCTGGGGGGAAGACAGAAGGAGCCGGTCGGGAACAGTAACTCCGGCGGCGGCGCAGCCATGGCCGGCGGCAAGGAACATGCCGGCGTGCACGGTTCAGTGGCTACGGGCCACGGTTCGAAGAACCGAGGACACCGGGAGAGCGAGGGGGTGAAGGGGATCTCGGACAGGCCGATACGGCGGCCGGAGGACGCGGCCGAGGCGGCGCTCGCCATAACCGGCGGCATAGAGGTCACCGGCGCGCGCGGAACTCGGCCTATAGGCCACGAAACACGCAAATAACAGCATGGGGAGAAAGAGGGGAGCACGACGAAGCTAACCGCGGTGACAAACGGGGTCGAAATCGGCTCGGGGATGGCAATCCGCGCAGAGGGGCGGTCGGCGAACCACGGCGCTTCTCCGATGGGGCGGTTGTGGCTTCCTCGGCATGGGCGAGCGCGGAATTGGAGCAGGGACAATAGCAGGGAGGGCGGCGGGGGTCACGGCTCCATTTTAAAGAGGTCGGGCACGGGGAGACGCTCCCACGATACCACGACGTGGGCGTGGAGCGGCGGCAGTTGCGCTTGGACCGGGCGCTGCGGTTGCGGGAGGAGGGGGACGGCGCTGACGCGTGGGCCCGGGTGGTCAACGGCTGGGCTGGCGCGGATGAGAGAAGAAGGAGGGCGCGACAACAGTTGCCTGGCCGAGCTAGGCCGGCCCAGGAAGGAAGCGGGGGAAGGGGGCGAAGGCGGGCCGGCGGCCAGAGCAAGCTGGGCCAGTGGGGAAACGGTCAGCAGGCCGAAACTGAAGAAGGGAGGGGAGAGAAAATGAATTTCCTTTTCTTTTTCCAAATCAAATTTCCAAATTCATTTTTACAGGGTTTTTGAATCATTTTGGCATTTAGGTCAAAACTAGACATCACAGTAAATTAAATGCAGCAGCATGAATGCATCAAAAGGTTACTAACCTTATATTTGATTTTAATTTCCTATATTTGAATGCGCACTTAATAACATAATTGAATCAAATTTACTTATTTTAAAAGATTGAAATTTTTTGGGTGTTACATGATCATAAATAGATTCACTGACTCTGCATCTGCAATTCTGCATGCAGTTGTACAAATGAATAGCGCTAGCATGGGGAAGAACTAACAAGGATCTCAACATTTCTCCGTACATCAAAACAAGCAGACGTGCAATCTCGCTCTAACTTCGTCAATAACGTGGCCGACCACGGATGTCTTGACTCTTGAGCTACCTCGTGCTTCTGCCGCCGGTGAAGCACATGAGGCTTTAGATAGCAACCACACAACCGCCACACCAAGCAAAAATAATTAAGGTTACACAAAGCACTGTCGTCGTCAGTGAGTATACTTGAGCTCTAGAGATGGTACCATTTTCTATATCAATTGAAGCAGACGTTGCGTGCTACTTACCATTTGTCAATCCAGCTCAGCTTCCTTTCAGGTTCAACAGCAGGAGCAGGAGGAGGAGGAGCAACAGCAGCAGTTGCTGAAAGAGGAGCTACAGCAGTGTTGGTGTTGCTAGGGCGGCCTTTATAGTATCCTGCTCGTACACCAAATCAAAGGAATCAAACAGAGCACTTGAAACTGCATATAGACAGACGCTACTGGCATCAAACAGGACTTTGAAAGAAAAAGCCAAGCGAGGGATTAGGTGTGAGATTCGAGAAGAAAAGTTTGGATCTGTTTGACACACACCAGGAACGCCATGGACATGAGTGTGGTTGGCGACCTGGTCGCCAACATCCTGCCGTGGCTGCGGCTGTGCTGCTTCCAGCGGCGGTGCCGGCACTGCCTGAACTTGTTGCGGATCGTATTCCAGGCCCAGGGGACGGCCACTGTAGTAGCCATCTGCAGCCACAGAAAACCAGTGAAGAATCAAAGTGATTCGCACAAGGGAAACGAGAGTAGTCTGCACGCTACTGCCTATCGTTTCGATCGAGCTTGTTTTTGTGTTTTCAGAAATGGTAAGGTAGATGTCAAGGCTGAGCAGCATACCGGCAGGATTGCCCGAGGCGTCGGCCATGGCGAGTCTCCGGCAGCCTCCTCCGGAGAGAGTGGGACGATGAGCGAAGAGGAGGAAGCTGGTGGAGCACCGCCTCCGCTGCCGGCCTCTGCTTCTTGGATAGATGGAAATGGGAGGTGGGAGTAGACAGTAGAGCAGGGAGCAGGTGCCTTTGGGGAGGCAGCTTCCTTAACGCGGAAATGGAATTGACTTAGAGTGAGAAGACTCTGGGTACTTGCTTCAGAAGGAACCTTGTTGGGAAAAAAAAATCATGTAATACATCTATCAAAGGGAAATAATAAAGGGTGCCTCCTTGCTCCTACAATGCTCCTTCTCTAAGGGGCTGTTCTGGTTGAGACCCTACCAGAAGATTTTTAGACAGAGCAAAAACACAGCATAGGATTTTGGCTTCAACCAAAAAGCAAGTACACTAAATACATATTTGGTACAGTTTATAAGTTGTTTATGGCCGAAATAAGCTAAAATTAATAGTCAGTTGGCATATTTTTTTTTTAGCTTAGTCTGACCGTGATTATTCCCACCACCCCATTTTATAGTAATAAACATAAGTTAGATCAGGCATGCTTATTTTAAGCTTGCTCTTACTCTACTAGTGCATCTTCTCTGATAAGTGCTTCCTAGAGAACATGTACCAAACAGGGTCTAGCTCTTTTTTTTCAGCTTTTTGCTGGCTTCAGAAGCCAAAAGCTGAAACAAATAGCACATCTATTGAGTTGGCTTTTGAAAAGATGGATTTGGAGAAGATAAACTAAAACTGAAAAACATGCTAACAGAAGCTTTTGTAACTTTTTTTGTGCCGAGAAGCTAAAAGTTTATTACAAAACCAATAACAAAACCTAAAAGCTAGAAAGTCAGCTTTTAAGCGAAAAGCTCAAAAGATACAACTCAAACAAGCAGACCCTAAGTTCATTAGACTCTCGTAAGTTATCAACTCAACATAGAAACCCAAATTATAATGAGCATGCATGTCTGACCTCATACAAGCCTCCAGAAACGTGGAAACCCCAAGGTTTTTGTATATAATATTTTTTTTAGGGAACAGGAGGGGCTCAGGAGCCCCTACTGAAATATATACTAAATATTTCTTGTGTTCTTAAGGATGTTCTTCAGTTTCGGCTTCATATGTAAGAATCCATTAATGTGTGCAGTAGGACGACAAACTAAGATAGGGAGAATGAAAAACATTTGCTGCATGAATGATGACTATATGCAGGTAGCTAGGTAAATGCGGTACATTGCCTCGACTAGTAGAATCATTGCCTCTTCATACAAAGTGAATTTGTTAATTAAAACTAATATGGGCAGAAGCGAAGCTTCACAGGACGTTATTACATATATACACCAGCCTAGATGGCTAGGAGCATCTCTTCAAAAGGTAAACTGTATGAGAGACTACCTGATTTTGGGGCTGTTCGGCTGCAGCTGCAGCCGCTTCTGCTATGTGCTTCTGCATAGTGCATAGAATGCTTGTACAAACTGACAACGCCACTGCCGAAAATATATATTTCAAAGAAAATAAATCTGAACAAATTTCTTCAAAAGGTAAACTGTATGAGAGACTCCCTGATTTTCATATCAAAGCAAAGCACAGTTGTATCATGCGGAGTACTTTTCATTGACTCTGATTCTGCATAGTGCATACAACGCTTGTACAAATTGAAAACGCCACTGCCGAAAATATATGTTTCAATTTTCAAAGAAAATAAATCTGAACAAATTTGCGTCGACCCAACACAATCACTGCCATCCATGGTCCTCTCGGTCTCGGTCCAGCACTGAGAATCTATCTTGCGGTTTCGCCGCCAGAGAAGCACGCACAACTTGATGATACATCATACAACAAACGGCGAGCCATCAGCGAAGGTATAATCAAGTGAAATCAAAAGAGCAGGAAACAGCGACTAGATTTAATTTGATCATTTGAGCTCTGAATGCTCACCAGCTGGAGAAGAAGCCCGATTCCTTAGGAGCAGCGGAGCTGCCCTGGCCGCCGGCGCCAGGTTTCGAAGGGCCGCCGGAGTAGTAGCCGCCTGCTCTTGCCAAACGCGAAGGTCCGTTATTACTAACAGTCAACAGACACTAGCCGCGCAAACCAAACGTGATTGGAGAGAGAAACGAAACGAGGAATTTTTAGGAGAAGAAGAAACGCTTGGATCTCCGGATCTGTAGGTAGTGCACGCACCAGGGACTGAGGCGTTGACCTGGCCGTCAACGGGCTCGGACTCGGACGGCGGCGCCTTGTGCTTGTCGTGCGGCGCGGCGGGAGGGCCGGAGTAGTAGCCTGCACCAGCACCAACGGGTAGCGAAAGAACCATCAACCATGTAATTCGGTAGGAGGGAGAATTGAGTGGATCCGGCGAATGAACATTAACACACACACATGATGGGTGAGGTTGAGGAGCCTACCCGGAGCGGGACTGCTGTCAGCCATTAGCGGATCGGATGGGAGCTCCGGCGAGCGATTCCTCCGCCCTGTGACGAGGAGAAAGGGTGGAGAGACGAGACCGAGAGAGCTGTGCAGGTCTCCCCGTGTGTTTGTTGGACAGGACGGCTGGACGGGGAAGATATGGCTTTAGGCAAGGTATGCAGCTTTGGTCGAGCTGGTAATAAGGGATTGACTACGAAGACTTGGCATCACCGGTCGTCCAGTTCTCGAAACGAAAACAAGGTGCTCCCACTCCCACCAACCACGTCGGACCTTGGGCTACTGGGTGCGGTTTTGCAAGTGGGTCTACTGCTGCCACCATCACTAGCTAGTAGCTAGTAGCCTAGTACAAGCTAATGATTGAGTTTTTTTTAGAAAAAAACGCTAATGATTGAGTTGGTCTTCAAATCTTCGTAATCTCTAGTCTAGTGCCTGAAAGGAAGATAGAATGCTGCTATCACATTTTCTGTTTCTGGCTTTCTGCAATCGTGCAATTGCCATTTTAGTAGTTTGCAATATGGCTCTAATAGTACCTGTACCGTATAAGCAGTTCTCCCGCTGTCTGATCATGTGGCGTTCTAGATTAGATTAGTATACTTTAGAGGGCCATTGCTCTCAAAAGAAATTTCTCCACTGATCCAATTTACGGGAAAGACAGCCCATTGGATGTGAAAACTCTTCAGCCAATGTGTTTTGTATCAATTCGGGGGAGAACTCTTATGACAACTGAACTGAGGTTTATACCAAAAAAAAAGGAAAGTTGCCAACTTGCTCATAAAATGGTCCGGCTTTACACACAGCACCATATTTTATAGGAATGAAATAAAGGTTTACAGTTTACACAAGTGCAGCGAAAATCGAATGGTAGCATGTGCAGCGAACAACCTCACTGACTCTAGCTAAGAATAAGATGCTACAAATTGACAAAGAACAGAGAATTTCAAGATCCTGCAACTGCAATCCGTCCAGACAAGCACCAGTGCGATGCGTGCTGAGCCAGAATGTCCTTCACTGAACTGCCCGCAGGGATGTGTCATGGCCTCACGGGTCTAATTCGAATTTCCGCTGCCGCCGGAGAAGCACCCGCCGAACCTGAGCACAACAAACGGAGAACCATGCATCAAACCGTTGAAACTGACAGCAATTAGCAGATTTGAGCTCTGAGCAGTTTCTACACAAGTCAAAGCATACATCAAACGGTTCATTACAATTTGGCAAGGAAGCCCGGTTCTCGATTCGGCTGAACTGCAGCATCAGCGTTGTTATTGTGTTCAGTGCCATCGCTTGGTCTCGAATGCACACGCCCTTTGTAGTAACCTGCTCTTGCCCGGAAAAAAAATTCCGATCCAGTTTCATAAAAAAATTAACACGAAATGCAATGGGAAAAGTTTACTAGAAGAGAAAGAGAAATCAGGGAAGGAAGGAAGCTGGAAGCAAGAACTGAACTGAAACACGAACGCACCAGGGACTTGTGCGTTCACAGCGTTCTGGTCGTCGACGGCCACCTCCGCCGCCGCCGGCGGCGGCTCCGCCTGTGGCTGCTGGTCCTGGTAGTGCAACGGGTGGCCGACGAAGTAGCCTGTACGTGCTCGGAGGCGACGGGAGGAAGGAAACACATGCCACATGGGGATTGGCAGCAGAAAGTGTTAGCTATCGCCTATGGGGGGCAAGGTAACCAGCAATCCAGCATAGATCGGGCAAAGAGATACGAGAGAAATACACCTACTTTGCAATCAAACAAGCAACTTCTATTGGAGCTTTTTCAGCTTGAGAGACGTGCAGGGGAGGGGATGATGGAAGGTCAAGGCTGTGCAGCACGTACCAGGAGGGTCGGCGGCAGCGGCAGCGGCAGCGGCAGCAGCGGCGGCGGCCATGGCAGATCTCCGGTGTCCTTCTCTCTCCTCCTCCGGCGAGGGCAACCGAGGGGGAACGTGGGTTGACGCACTCTTGCGCGAGTCTCCTTTTGTTTTGTTGCATTATTCAAGGGAAATTTTTGACGTGCCATTAAAAAAAGATTGCAATGCTCTGTGAGTTTCTGGAAAAGTTTAGCACTCTTCAGCGTCATTGCTCTAACTTTTTTGTGCTATCCATATCACTGCCGTCAGTTTGGGCTCTAACACCGTCAAACTGTAGATATGAAAAATCGAAAATACCCTTAAGTCTAAATATGTCATTAATTTTTTTGAGCATCTTAACGACTTTAAATGAAAAAACTCAAAACTAGAAAGTTGTAGATCTCGTCGAGATCTATAATTTTCATATAAAAATTATTTTCATTTAATTCCGAAAAAAAGATATGATTTTTCTAAGATATATTAATCATATCAAATCATATTTTTTGCGGAATTAAATGAAGATAATTTTTATATGAAAATTATAGATCTCGACGAGATCTACAACTTTCTAGTTTTAAGTTTTTTTATTTGAAGTCGTTAAGATGCTCAAAAAAAATTAATGACATATTTAGACTTGAGGGTATTTTAGACTTTTCACACCTGCAGTTTGACGGCGTTAGAACCCAAACTGACGGCAGTGGCATGGAGGACACAAAAAAGTTAGTGCAGTGACGCTGAAG